AAAAAAAAAAAAGAAAAGAAAGAAAGAAAAAGAAAAAGAAAAAGGCTCATGTGTTATTTGGTGTGTGCTTTTTAAAAATGTTTTTAATATCCTATTATGGATACACTTGGCTTCAATTCTGTCATTTTCACTGTTGTTGAGCATAGCATGATGGTGTTACAATTCTTCAGTATTCTGTCACTCCAAGGGGGCTGCTTCTAAGGTGAAGAGCTTTCTTTCACATGTGTCCTTGGGCCATACGCAGGCTTTTATGTTTGTTGTACGTGTAGGGGTGGAATGCTGGTCATGGTATGTGCAGCTTCGAGTTACTAGAAAATTCTCACCTCTGTTCAAGGATGTCTCTACTAATTCACAGTCTGAAAATTCCTGTTGGAACTCATTCTGTAAACGCAGGTAGGCATGCTGTTACATTCATGCAGCTGTATTATGCTTTTTATTAGCTACACATGAGGGCCTGGGGCTGTAGCTCAGTGGCAGAGTGCTTGCCTAGCATGCACAAGGCTCTAAATTCAATCGCCAGTACCACACACACACACACACACACATACACACACATCCACATTAGCTCTGCAGAGTGGCTCCCATAGGAGGCTGAGGCAGTGAGTCATGCCTGGACTACATAGTGAGCCCAAGGCCTGCCTGGACAAGCAAAACAACAAAAGAGGTTGGACCTTTAAAAAAAATTAGCCGTTGAGATTATCCTCTGCTAAATGTCTACTTATGTTCATTGTCTATTTTCTGCTTTCTATTTGATATTTATTTATTGTAAATTTTTATTTGTTTATTTATGTGTGTGTGTGTGTGTGTGTGTGGCCAGCTCAGCCCACCAGGGGGCGGGGCTGGCTGGCATGTGGTGCGGGGGGATTGAACCGCGGTCCCTGTGCTTTGCTTAGCTTAGCTTGTTCTAAGTAGGTGCTTTAGACCACTGAGCCATCTCACCACCCCCCTCTATTTGATATTTAGGAACTCTTAATATACTCTTGTTCATTAAATACATTGCAAATAGTTGATCCTATTCTGTGAGAAGCCTTTCTATTTCCTTAAGGCTATCATGTCTTTTCTCTTTTTAATTTTTTGCCTTTTCTATTTATATTTTTGTTTGTTTATTTTTGTGGTACCATGGATCAAACTTGGGGCCTTGTGCTTGTCAAGTAGGCATTTATACCACTGAGCCATATCCCTGGCCCCAAATTAATAAATTATTAATTTTATTGAGAAACAGATAGCAATGAGACAGTTTCAAAACCGATTAGTAGGACACTTTCAAAAATTAATACATTTCATATTGTTGTCTTCATAGTGGTTATTCGTAGTACAAGATGCAGACATGATATCCTGTCCAAACA